GTTGGACTTTCGCGTTTTTTTTTTTTTTTCTTTTCTTTTCTTTTCTTTTCTTTCTCTCTCTCTTTCTCTTCGTTTTTTATTTCACTCATTCTCGTCGTTGCTTGCTTTCTTTCATTCTTTCTTTCTTTCTTTTTTCTTAATTTCTGACATGTTTCGATTATTTTTCTCTTTTAAGTTTATTTTATCATTTATATATATATTTTTATCTTTCTCGATTTTAAATGATCATTTATGTTTTTTTTATTATCTTTTATCGTACTTCACTTTCTCCCTTTTCTTTTCTTTACTTTTCCTTTCTTTTTTTTCTTTCATTTATTTTCTTTACTTTTCCTTTCCTTCCTCTTCCTTTCCCTTCCTTTCCTTTGCCTTCCTTTCCCTTCCTTTCCTTCCCTTTCCTTTCCCTTCCTTTCCTTCCCTTTCCTTCCCTTTCCTTCCCTTTCCTTTCCTTTCCATCATAAGTGAGAGTACGAAAAAAAAGGCGAAAAAAGACCGGAAGTGCGGGAGGAGGTCTCTTCCCTTATACGCAGTACGAGAGGTGAAAGCGTGGGCGTGTGGGCGGGGGGGGGGGAGGGGGGGAAAGGGGAAGAGGGGGGAGAAGAAGAGGGGAGGGGAATAGGGGGAAGAAGGAGGAGAGGGTAGTGGGAGGAGGGAGAGGGAGGGAAAGAGAGAGAAAGGGGAAGAAGAAAAAAAAAGAAAGGGAAGAATAAGGGAGAGAAAAGGGAGCATGGGGCGAGGAGGGAAAAGCAGAGAAAGGGATATTAGACAAGGGGGGAGAAGGAGAGAAATGAGGGGGAGGAGAATGAGAAAGGAAGGCGAACGAAGGAGAGAAAAATGGAGGAGCGGAAGGTGAAGATCAGAGCGAGGAAAACGGGAGACGGAATGAATAAACTAGAATAATTGACGTGATGAAGAGGGGAAACAGCGCGTCGGGGGAAGAAGATGCTCCGCGGGGAAGGGGGGGGGGGAGAAGAGAAGGTTGAGGGGAGGGGGGGAGGGGGGGAGAGGCAATGCGCCCAGCGATTTGGCGTCTACCGTGGCGTCCTTCCTTTGCGCGCCGTGCATGGGAGTTCTCCAGACTAGACTGTGCATGACTGACGGCTGACGAACACTGATGTCTTTGTTGGTTTGCATGACGTGAAGGGATGGAGGGGGGGAGGAGGTTAGGTCTGATGAATGCGTTGGGGGGGAGGTGGGTAGTTAGCGCGTTGAAAGGATTTAGTATGTAAATCGCATGCTTAAGTCGCCGCTGACACTAAACGGCGCTAATGCAGAACGTCCGAGCGACATTGGGGCAGCTTCCTCCGCCGATTTCCCGGAGCGGCCCCTGCCTCGCGAGTTCGGATATCACGACACGCCACCGACCGCGACAAGAGCGGGCGGCGCGAGCATGGAATCCGGTCGTTAGGGCGATTAAGACGACCCTTAATCGGCCCGCGGCGGTCGGCGGAGGCGCAGCGGACGCAGGGATTGCGGTCGGCAACGTTATACTTGGCGACGTAACGCAGCCTCGCTCGGACCGCCTTCACGCTCCGGCGCCGGCGCTTGCGACACGGCGCCGACCGCAGCGAAGGCGGCGGCTTTACATGCGGCGGGATCGCTCGGAGGAATGCAGGGGGGGGGGTAGAGAGGGGGTGAAGGATGGAGAGAGAGAGAGAGGAAGGGAGAGTAAATAATAGACAGTGAAACAGACAGATTGAGAGAGACAGCAGACAGAAAGGCACAGAGAGAGAGAGGGATCGAATGAGAGATAGCGATGTAGAGAGAGAGAGAGAGAGAAAGGGAGAGAGAGACAGATGACGAGAAAGCTAAAATAAAAAAAAGAGGGTGGATGTTTACGTGCGTGTGTGTGTTTATACGTTCCGGAGGGAAGGGTGGTGATGTAGCACGTGTGGGCGGGCGGTGCAGGACGTGCATATGGGCGAAAAATAGGGGCGTTGGGAGCGGAAGAGGGCGTGAAGATGATGGGTGAAAGGAAGAAAAGGGGGGGGAGTTGATGCCACTGAGAAAGAGTGTGTGTCTGTTTCTCGTTGTGTCTACATGTATAAGTGTTGCTGTTGTTGTTATTATTGCTGTTGTTGTTGTTTTATTTGTGTACATATATACATTTATGTGTGTTAGTTTGTGCGTGTGTGTGTGTGAATAGGTGGTAGAAATTGAAGTAGTGAAAAAAACGACCGTAAGTACATTTCCAGCTGTGTTTTACAATTGTAAGACAATAAGAGCGATTATGAAAAATGCGAAAAAATATGACAAGGGTATCAATTTTCTAGACAATAAACCAAGAAAATTGTTCAATTCGGCAATAAACGAGCTTCATTAAGTAATTAAAGACCTTTCTTTGGATGTTTTGGCTCTCTCCTTCTATTCCTTTTCCTTCTTCGTCTTTTCTTAGCTCTTGTCTTCTCTGTCTTTCCTTCTCTTGCTCCTCGTTCTCCTCTTCCTTCCCCTCCTTCTCCTTCTTCTTCTTTCTCTCCCTTCCCTTCCTTTCCTCCTCTTAGTCGTCTTCCTTTCCTCCTCCTTCCTCCTCCTCCTCCTCCTCCTCCTCCTCCTCCTCCTTTTTCCTCCTCCTTTTTTTTCCTCCTTTCCCCCTTCCTCCTTTCCCCCCCTCCTCTCTCCTCCCTTCCCCTACCCCCACCTCCACCCCTCCCCCATCCCCTGTCTTCGCTTTCCTCCGTACAGTACGCAAGATACGAGTGTTCCGGTTCTGTACGTCATGAAGCGGGTAACAGTAAGCGACACAGTGTGACGTTGCATGCAGCATCCACTCTCACTGCATGGCGTAAGTCCTCCCCCCCCTCCCCCTCCTTCCATTCACAGGCCCCTATCCCCCACCCCCCTTCTTGGTGTGACGCCTTCTTCGAGTGAGCAATTTGAGTTGTCATGTCGTTTTTTTTTTTTTCTTCTTCTTCAACTTCGTCTGTCTTTCATTTGTTTTAGTCTCTCTCCTTTTTTTCTGTTTTTCGTTGAGCAATGAAGTGACTGACGTTTTATAATGCATTAGCTTGGTTTCCTATGAAGCGCGATTTTTTTTTACTCTTTTGAAATTTGTGTGGGTGTGTGTGTGTTTGTTTGTGTTTGTGTGTAATTGTGCGTTGACATGTGCTGTCCATCTTTGGTCCAAGTTATTCTCTTGTTTTCTTTCATTTTCCTCACTCTCCCATTCTCTACTCTCATCCTTCCTTTCCTCCCCTTTTTATCCCCTTCCCATTCTCTCTCTCTCTCTCTCTCTCTCTCTCTCTCTCTCTCTCTCTCTCTCTCTCTCTCTCTCTCTCTCTCTCTCTCTCTCTCTTCCTCGAACGGCTACGTACGACCCGGCTGGACTACCCACAGCGGACGACCACGAATGATTAGCGATGCCGGCCGCGAAATCCCCCCACAGGACGAGTCTGTTTGGTCCTCACGCCCATACACAGGCCTCGCTCGCCCTCGCTTCAACGGCTCCCTCATCCATATACATGATGCCTTTTTTTTAACGTCGTTGTGGGCGCTTCGACTCTATAGACGTACCCTCGGTTTCTGTTTTTTTAAGAAGCTTGAGTTTTGTTTTAGGTATTTGTTTGCTTATTTATTGATTGATTTATTTTTATGTATTTAGATGCTTATTGATTAATAAACTTATTTACTTTGTTTACACAGTTGTTTACTTTGATAAACAGCGCTTCCTGAGTCGTTATGTACACTTGTTCCCCGATCAACACGTACGCCTCTACCCATAATCGCTGTCGTTAATCCTTATACGTTGGGATAATTCGTCATTTGTATACGGAACGCGCGTGGTATCTTGACGAATCGCTTCCTTAAGTTTGGTAGAGGGATTTCTGTAAAGGTGATTAAACAACGCTGTTTCTGTTTTTTTTTTTTTTGTCTGATGAACTTAAGCTGTTAGTAACTATATTGTTCTCTCTTCCGCCACCCCCCCCCTCTCTCTCTCTCTTTCTTTCCCCTCTTTCTCTCTCTCTCTCTCTCTCTCTCTCTCTCTCTCTTTCTCTCTTTCTTTCCCTCCCTCCCTCTATCCCTCTATCCCGCCCTCCCTCTCTCCATCCTTCTCGTTTTTTTCTCTTCTCGTTATCCCATTCTTCCTCCATTTTCTGTTGATGCAAGTGTTTAGCCTTGCGTCACCCCTTCTCCCGTCCTCTCATTCCTTCCCCTCTCCCCATTCCCTCTCCTTCATTGCTTTCCCTCCTCCCATCTCCCCTCATTCCTTTTCATCTCCTCCCTCATGCCTTCCCTCTCTCCCATTCCCCCTCATTTGTTCCCCTCTTCTCTCCCACATGCCTCCCCCCCCCCTCATTCCGTGCATACATGAGGGCTTCCCATCAGCATGCAATTACCTCTCGTCTTACAAGCAGGGGCCTTCATGCAAAGCCTGCACAAAGCATGCGTCGCCGTGTTTGGAGAGGCGCTCCTGTATAATGCATGGCGAGGCCCCCGCCCATCTCGCGCTCGGGAACGGGGCAGCGGCGTCATTGCGACCGAACGCCCACCTAGACGTCCGTAAGGCCGTCCGTACGCCCGCCCGAATCCGCTCCGTACGCGAGGTTGGAGGGGCACTCAGTCAGGGAGGAGACGTTGTTTTGCAGGATGAGGGGGAGGGGAGGGGAGGGAGGGAGAGAGGGAGGTAAGGAAGGGGGAGTTAGATGTTGGTGAGAAGAGGAGGGGTGAATGAAGGAGAAAGAGAGACAGACAGACAGACAGAGACAGAGAGAGAAAGAGAGGACGTAGGATACCGGAGAGGGGAGGATGAAAGAATAGGAAGGGAAGAGGAAGAGAAGGAGAAAGACATAGGACTCAGCAAAGCAGATTGAGGAGCGGAAATAGGACAGAGAGATATAAGGAGGATAGAGGAGTGGAGGAGGGAGAGGGAGAGAGGCAGGAGGAGGTCAGAGGAAGAGAGACAGAGGGATGCCAGAGGGAGAGGGAGAGGGAAGGGGAGGGAGGCCCGGGGGGAGGGGGCCGGGATCTGTGTGACTGTGGAGCGACAGGCGGGATCACTCCACGCGGGTCGTCATGTGTTCTGTGGCGGCGATGCCAGGCGCTGGTGTCTCCGCCGTGCGTCGTCTCGCGCTGTACGTCCTGTGCCATCCGTACGTGCACTCCGTTTGAAGTCCGTGAGGTGAGGGATTGGCGTGCTTGCGAGTGTTCGTCGTCGTCGTCGTCCTGCTGCGTGCGAGGACCGGGTCGTTCCTGTGTTGGTGTTCTGTGTGCGATTGTGAGGATCACGTTACGCGCTGTTTATGTTTTGCTCGTCGGAACGGAGCCCTGTTGTGCCGCGGGTTTGGGTTCGAGTGTTTCGTATGAAGGCATAATCAGATCAGTGATACAGTGCGATTGTCCGTGAATACCATTAAGTTATGCAACTGTCGTTCATTATCACCAAAGTTGAAAAAAGTGAGAAATACAAATTTAACCAAATGAACACCCGCTTCATGAAATTCCCATGCAAATGCAAGCGCGTGCAGTGTTGCATACACAAGAACACCAAAATTGAGACATGTTTGAGCCAGCTGGAGGTAGCTGGCATGATCCTGTTTTGTTGCATCCATTGTGTTGCTAGCAATGGATGGCGTTCGTGCACACCGAATAAAGGAATTCCCGGGAAACCTCTAAAAAGGGATGGAAAAAAAGGTTCTGTCCTCTATCACTCAATGTTGGAGTCACCTGGTCACGTGGGGGGAGGGAGGGAGGGAGGGCGGGTTGGTGGGTGTAGGGAGGGAGGGAGGGAGGGACGGAGGGAGGGAGGGAGGGAGAGTATATTTTGAAAAGAGGAAGAGGAGGAAGAGGGGGAGGGGGATGAGAAGGTGGAGGTAGTGGAGTTAAAAGGAGGAGGAGGAGATGATGGAGATGGAGATGAAGATGGAGACGGAGGAGGAGGAAGAAGAGGAAGAGGAAGTGGAAGGTGGAGATAGTGACGGGACGTGGAAATGAAGATAGTAGAGGAGTGCTATTCGTAGAACAGAAATAACACAAACAACTCGATATCAATTGCAGTACCAGACACCTGGTACCGCAGGCGAATGAATAATTGTCAGTGGCCTTAGGTAGCACTTGTGACAGGCGTGCTACTCGTGATGAGGTGAGTATTACGATTAGTACAAGTACCACCACTTGTGACTGTAATGAGAGTAGTAAGGATAGCGATAGTAACATGAGAACAAGAGAAAGGAAGAAAGAAAGATAGGAAGGTAGGAAGGAAAGGAAGGGAAGAAGTAGAAGAAAGAAAGAAAGGGAAGAAGTAGAAGAAAGAAAGAAAGGGAAGAAGTAGAAGAAAGAAAGAAAGGGAAGAAGTAGAAGAAAGAAAGAAAGGGAAGAAGTAGAAGAAAGAAAGAAAGGGAAGAAGAAAGACAGACAGAAAGAAAGGGACGAAGGAAGAAGAAAAAAAAGAGAGAGAGAGAAAATCACGACCAATAGAAGAAAGAGGAAGCAGATGGAACGAAGAATAAAGAGGAGAGGGGGGGGGAGACAGGGATAGCGAGGGTGGAAGATTGGCGTGTTATCCGCTTATCTCGCGAGTGTGTGAAATCGCAGGGAAGAGAACATCATAAGCGAGGCAGGTCACGCGCTCGATTCGTTTTCCGGCGCATTTGTTATTGTTGTTCTCTCTCTCTCTCTCTCTCTCTCTCTCTCTCTCTCTCTCTCTCTCTCTCTCTCTCTCTCCCTCTCCCTCTCCCTCTCCCTCCCCCTCCCTCCCTCCCTCCCTCCCTCCCTCCCTCTCTCTCTTTCCGTGAAATTGTGGAATGGCATTAATTTTGCTGATTTTTGGTATGTGAGAGTGTTTACGTTTTTTTTTTTTTTTTTTTTTTTTTTGCTTAAAGTTGTAAAGAGCTTTGGGACTGCGTCGATCCTGAAGATTTTTATTAATTTGTTTATTTGTTTTTTTGTTATTCCTTTTCTTTCGAGATTTGAGGTTGGTAGTTGTTTCGCAGAATGTATGTTGTATTTTCGTGTATTATAGAAGGATCGTCTTCCGTAAAGTGGATGAAATGTATCTTTCTCATTTCTTTCTTGCGTATTGTTTTATTTTATCTTCACATTGTCTTACTTTCAGAATGTCCCTTTCACTTTGTCAAGAGAAATGACGTTCTTTGGGCGACTTTTTCTTAGCATGTAGCGTTGGACGCGTGTATGGAAAATGGTGCTGTGTCACGCTGTCACGTTACGGTACGGAATTATTTTCACCGAGAGAGAGAGAGAAAGAGAGAAAAAAAGGAAAATAATAATATGGAAAATAGTTGTACGCTATTTTTTTTTCTTTTCTAGTCACGTGACCGTATCTCTCTCTCATCTCAGCATCCAGCGAGAGCTTAGGAGCTTAACATTATATATATATTTTTAAATCCCGAGTTGTTCTAACCCTCTGACCTTTTTCTTTTTTTCTTTCATTCTATTTAATCGTTTGCTTGTTTAAATCTCTACGTCTAGAAAATGAAAGGTAATCGCTCTACGAAATGTATCAAAATTATAGAAAGTCAGGATCGCGTAATGTGATGTAATGGCAGTCACTCACTAGGCTATAGAAAGCAAGAGGCGTTTAATGCAACGTAATCAACGGTAGAAATTTTCTCTTCTGTATCGCGGTGGTGATGCGTTCACGAGTGCCACGGGGCAATTGTCATTTCAAGTGGAAGGGATTACTTATCATTACCACTTAGCTGGAGATGAGGAGAGGGGAGAAGGGGGAGAGGTGGGAGGGAAGGGGAGAAGGGGAAAGATGGAAGGGAAGGGGAGAGAGAGGGGGAATGGGAGAGGGGGAGGGTAAGGGTTACGAGAGGGAGCCTTGCTTGCGTCTCAGAATTTTGGGTGAAGAAAATTGAATGTGTGAGTGGAAAAGTCTGTCTGTCTCTCTCTCTCTCTCTCTCTCTCTCTCTCTCTCTCTCTCTCTCTCTCTCTCTCTCTCTCTCTCTCACTCTCACTCTCTCTCCCTCCCTCTCTCACTCTCTCTCCCTCCCTCCCTCTCCCTCCCTCTCCCTCCTTCTCTCCCTCCTCCCCCCTCCCCACTTCTCCTTTTTTGCTTTTGATATTGTTGTCATGTTTCACGAATGTTTTGTGTTTTTATATCCATTGCTTCTGTTGCTGTTATTGTTATTGGTATTATGATTGTTGTTATTGATACATAATCTTCATCGTTTTATGTGTCATACTGTTGTTTCAGTTGTATCAATGTTTGTTTATTTATTTATTTATTTTCATTTTTTTTATCGAGGTAAGGGAAGCTATCGAAAACTTACCGAAGGGGAATTGAATTTTAAGCTGTTTGTTTCATTATTTTCGGCTGCCACAAGAGATATAGGAATTCGTTGCCGGGGGCGAAGCCTGGTGTTGAAAAATGGCGTTATTGTGACCAGATATTTCTTTTTCTTCTTCTTCTTCTTCTTCTTTGTTTTTGTTTTAATCTTTTCATATAAACATTTATTGAAAGATGATTTTGGTTAGGAGGGGTAGGGGGGGGGGGGAGGGGGGAGGTGGCCTTCATGACGCAGCGGTTAATGACGGTGATGTCGATCTGTTCACGTCTAACTCTTACTGTCTCGCAATTGAGTTGCACAACGCACCCGCAAAAAACAACAACAAAAACAATAACACTAAAACATTCTTGCTTGTAAATTGGATTTGAAGTTTTCACATAGCGACGATTTCCCACTCTGTTTCAGGTGGGGAGGGGGGGAGGTTCTTGTACTTGTTGTGTTTGTTTTCTGTGGGGGGAAGGGGGGAAGAATGTGTTTCTGTGAGGCAGGGGGAGTGGAGGGAGAGAGGGAGAAAGGGGGAAGGAGGGAGAGGGAGAAAGGGGGAAGGAGGGAGAGGGAGGTAGGGGGAAGGAGGGAGAGGGAGGAAGGGGGAAGGAGGGAGAGGGAGGAAGGAGGAAGGAGGGAGAGGGAGGAAGGGGGAAGGAGGGAGAGGGAGGAAGGGGGAAGGAGAGAGAGGGAGAGAGAGAGAGAGAGAGAGAGAGAGAGAATGAGAGAGAGAGGGGAGGGGAGAGATTAAAAGAAAGAGCAAAGGCAAGTGCAAGAGGGAAACCAAGAGAAAGAAAGAGAGAAAGAGAGAGGCATCTCCAAAATGGCGTTTGCATGCGCGTCCGTTTCTCTTTCAATCCCCCCCCCCCCAATGCACAGAATTGACTCGTCATCTCCCTTCCCTCCCTTGATAATACACAACGAGACTCGCCACAGGATAGACGAAGCGCTGGCACACAACCCTCGCCTTGCAACCAACCCTTCCCAGGACGTTTCCTGTTGCATGTTGCAGCCTCGGGGCTTGCAATTACAGCGCTGAATGCGGTTAACTTAGGCCCAACTTTATCATTGTCTTCGACTCCAGGTCTCTGAATGGATTAGGATTGGTAGGATTATGTCGAGAGATCCTAGCATTATCCTTCGTCTGGCAGGATGTTTTGGGAGAGAAGGGGGGGGGGGGGAGAACACTAATTTTAGTGAAAAGAGATATTAATGTGTATTGATAGTGATTCTACTACAATCCGTTTTTTGTTGTTGTCGTTGTTGTGTACGTGTATGTATGTGTATGTTTGTGTGTACCTGTGTATTTGTATGTTTGTTTTGTATGTATGCCAGTAGGTATGTATTTGTTTGTGCGTTTGTTTGCACATATTTAATTTGGTGAATGTGTATCTACATGCATGTGTGTGTTTGTGTACGTATATATATTCATAAGAGAGTGAGTGAGTGAGTAAATTAATCAAAATGTGTGTGTTTGCGTGTGTGAGTGTGAATGTGTGTGTGTATGTATGTATGTGTGTGCCTGTCTATCTGTCTGTGTCTGTGTGTTACCACTCCGTTGTTATCTCGACTTTGTCCTGCATTTCTCAAGGCCGCCGCTGTTGTCGGGATGGGCGTGGTTACGGGCGCCTGTGAGGAAGAGTTGTGGGACAGGTGGGCGTGGTTTGAGATATCGTGTTAATGGGTGTGGTTGCTTGGAGGGAGGTGGGCGGAGTTAGGTGGCCGCGTGTGGGCGTTATAATCGGAAAAGGCAGTTTTATTATTCTTCTTCATCCTCATCATCATCTCATCATCAACGTCTTCCTCCTCCTCCTCCTCCTCCTCCTCCTCCTCCTCCTCCTCCTTCTTATCTTCCTCCTCCTCATCTTCCTCCGCATCCTCCCTT